TTTTTGATTTATTGTAGAGATGAGGTCTTGCCAAGTTGCCCAGGCAGGTCTCGAACCCACATGCTCAGGCATTCCACTCACCTCAACCTCCCAAAGCTCTGGGATTACAGGCTGAGCCACCGAACCCGGCTGAGATTTTTTTAAAATTCCTTCTTTAGGACTGCTACTGGAGGCTTCAAAAAGTAACTCAAATATCCTCAAAAATGAAAAGTCTTTGTACTTTCAGATGAATACAATTTTGGAAGTAGCCACTTGCAGCTATATTTAGTAAATTATGTACCTATTCCAATTTGGTGACAGAAGTTTTAGTCAAGCAAGGCTCGGTGGCTCGGCCTGTAATCCCAGCACTTTGGGAGGCGAGGTGAGTGGATTGCCAGAGCCCGTGGGTTCAAGATGTGCCTGGGCAACTTGACGAGACCTCATCTCCACAATAAATCAAAAAAAAATTAGTTGGGCACCTGTAGTTCCAGCTACTTGGAAGGCTGAGGCGGAAGGATCGTTGGAGCCCAGCAGGTCGAGGCTGCGGTGGCCGGGAGCGTGCCCTGCACTCATCTGGGTGACAGAGTGAGACTCCAACTCAAAAAAAAAGAAGTTTTAGTCAAAAACAAGACGATAAGGAAGATATGAGGATTTGGCAGTGGTTTCTTAAATATGACAAAGAGACTTGCAATAAAGATAGATAAAATGTTCTTCATTAAAATTAAAGACATTATGCATTAAAGACCACTATCAACAGAATGAAAAGACAATCTACTTGATGGAAGAAGATATTTGCAAATTATTTACTCGATATATATGCAGAATATTCAGAATATATAAAGAACTCCTACACTTCAATAACAACAAAAAACAGCCCAATTCAAACCAGTAAAAGACTTGAGTAGACATTTCTTTAAAGAAGATATACAGATAACCAACAAGCACATAAGAAGATCCTTAGTCATTGGAGAAACCATGATCACTGGCACCGTTATCAGTAGTCATTAGGGAAATGCAAATTACAACCACAAGATACCACATCACACTTATTGGGATGGCTATAATTTTTTTTAAAAAAAGGAAAATAACAATTGCAGGAGAGGACTTGGGGAAATTGGAACCTTTAAACTTTGCTCATATGAATGTGAAATGGCTTAGACACTGGAAAAGTTTGGCAGTTCTTCAAAACATTAGACATAGAATTACCATATGACCCAGCAATTTGACTCCTAGCTACATGCCCTAAAGAATTGGAAACAGGGACTCAAACATACATTTGTATGCAAATGTCTGTTATAATAGCCAAAAGGAGGAAATAACCCAAGTGTCCTTCAGTAGAAAATTGTGTTATAGCCATACAGTGGAATGCAACTTTAAAAAGGAATGAAGTTCTGATACACAAGCCAACATGGATGAACCTTGAAAACATTACACTAAACAAATAAACTAGACAAAAAAGGGCAAATAATGCATGATTCTATATTAGGTACTTAGAATAGGCAGTCATACAAATAGAAAGGAGATTAGAGGTTATCTAGGGTGGAGAAAGGAGAAGAAAGAATAGGGAGTTAGTGTTTAATGGGTATGGAGTTTTTGTTTAGACTGATGAAAGGATTTTTAAAGTAGCAGCAATGGTTACACAACATTGTAAATGTAATTAACGCCACTGAGTTGTACACTTTAAAATCATTAAAATTTTATGCTACATATGTGTGTATAAAACACCTTTGTTATTAAGTATTATATATAATATATATCATTTTGTTATTAAAATTTTGTATAAAATATAAAATTAAGCAGGTTTTTATTATATATATATCTTACCACAATAAAAGAATTAAAAATTGACAACAGTTAAAATCATATTGAAGAAATGTAATCATCTTTTACTGTTTACTTTACTTTCCTGAACAAATGCATTGTTGAAATAGTGAAATGGAAATGGATTTTGTATCAAATTAAGCCTTGTCTCAATATTTTAAGACTCTTTTTAAAAAGCCAAGATCATTAGAAAGGGGTAAGACAGCTCTCCTGTGCCTCCTTCTGAAGGTAAAGGCCTTTACTTGGGTAACAGGAAATAAAAGGGGGAAAACGGGTAGATATTGCTATTCAAAAGAATGCATGACTTACAGTGAACAATTGAATTGTGGTCAAATCACATGGTTCACATTCCACGGAAAGGAAATTACACAGCTTCTGTTTAGTCAACTTGTGCTGATATGAACACCTAGAATTGGGGAAATCTTTCCAAATATTGCCAGGCATTGCAGGGCCTCGCTGTCACTGCTCCTAAGCTATTGCATTGCAAATGAGGGCTCATGTGTGACCCGCTTCTTTTCCAGAGCATAGGAAACTTGGAAACATGACTGTGACGGTGAAGAAGACTGTCCCCTCTCCCGAGGCTGTGCAGATCCTCTACCAGCGGATGAGATACGAGTACGAGTTCTACCACTACGTCAAGGAGCAGTTCCACCTGCTGAAGCGCAAGTTTGGACTGAAGTCTCATGTCAGCAAGCCCCCCCTGAGGCCACACTTCTTTATCCCAACCCCACTGGAAACCGAGGAGCCAATCGATGACGAGGAACAAGATGATGAAAAGTGGCTGGAAGATATTTATAAGAGGTGATGCCAGCACTGTGTTGCCTCCGTGGCTTTATCTCTCTTTTCTAGAAAGATCTTTGTTTGGGGACGAAAAATCCTGAAGGGACTACATTAATGCTTGGGTGCATTAAAAAGAACAAAACATTCCCACATGTTGGGGTCAATGGGAGATGCCCGGTTTTGCGGGTTTTATGTGTTTAATTTTATTCTGTGTGTTTTCTTGGCTCTTTGAGTCTTTCCCAGGTACACTAGATGGCTCCATCACAAGGCATCTCATTACAGAATCGCTCCCCGCCAACCCCATACAATGGGAGAAGGGGGAGAAATATAGTCCATAGCCTAATAACTTATCATGCGTAAAATGACTTGTAAAAATATTACCTCAGTGGTAGGAGACATGCAGACTTGTATATTTCAGTAGAAATACAAAACCACTTCAGAGACCAGGGAATCTTCTCCAGAAGGATCTGAGAGGAGAAGGTAAGACAGAAAAGGACATCAGAAGGAGGATGTCCCTGGTTACGTGGTTTCTACCCGCATGGTTGGAATTCTGCCTCTGGTCCATCTCAGGGGACAATTTCACCAAGAGCAGCGTACTTATCTCTGAAAGAGCAAGTCGGCTTGTGCCACATCCCCAACCAATGCAGAGCCTGGAATACCTTTCAAGGTCAAAGTGCATGGCAAGCTCCATTGAGACAGTCCATCTCCAAGCACCATGCTGGCAGATAACAAAGTAGCATAGAAGGGAAAAGACTTTGCTAGCTGGGTAAGGAAGAATGTAGGAAAGTCAGATAAAATCGGAAGATCATGTAACAGCAGGAAAAGGGCATGGCTGTGTCCTTTGCACCCAATATGAGACATCTTTCTCCCCAGCATTGCTTTAAATGGAAGCCCCAGGAATCAATTTAGCTCGGGCATTTGACTCCCATGGCAGGAGTGCTAAGCCTGATCACAAACCGCACATAATCTTTCAAACACATCCCTGACTAAATTGGGTCCCATGGTGTCTGGTACCATGTACCAGAGTACATTTACGTCCCCAAGAGGTACCTGTTTTCAGTGAGAAGTGGTTCTGAGTTCTTTGCAGGTGGCAGAACTAAAGTCCTATTTCTTATGGAACCTGCTTGCTCCTGAGAACCCTTACTTGGGACATCAAAAAGAGGAGAAGCAAGGGCTTCTGGGTAAGAGACTGCTTGGCCAGTTGTGAGTAGGCGGCTTCTCCCAGTGTGATCTGAGTAGATACTGAGCAAAGTATGTATCCTCTCCATTCCCCACCCCACCCTCCATCCCCTGCCACCTGTCAATAATGCCGTGGCTCAATCATCAAAAATCTATTCCTTGGGATTCTGAAATGTATTCACCTTAAAATAATCCTGAAAACACACATCCTCCTGTGTGAATGACATACAGCTAGCTGGGAAGCTGGGTGCAGTGGTGGTGACAGGAAGGATACTTGTGACAAATTTTGTCTACTTCAAAGTTGTCCCCTAGAGCCAGCCCTTCAAGAGCACTAGCAAAGTGTGAGTTGGGAATGCTTAATAGTAAATAAGAGCCGGGCTCGGTGGCTCAGCCTGTAATCCCGCCCCTTTGGGAGGCTGAGGTGAGTGGATTGTCTGAGCCCACGGGTTCAAGACCCGCCTGGGCAGCAAGACCTCATCTCTACAATAAAATCAAAAAATCAGCCGGGCGTGGTAGCGCATGCCTGTAATTCCGGCTACTCAGAAGGCTGAGGCAGAAGGATCGCCGGAGCCCAGCAGGTCGAGGCTGCAGTGGCCGGGAGCGGCCACTGCACTCCAGTCTGGGCGACAGAGTGAGACTCCAACTCAAAAAAAAAAAAATTAATTAATTAATTAATTAATTAAAATAATCCTGAAAACACACTTCCTCTTGTGTGAATGACATACAACTAGCTGGGATGCGGTGGTGGTGACAGGAAGGATACTTGTGACAAATTTTGTCTACTTCAAAGTTGTCCCCTAGAGCCAGCCCTTCAAGAGCACTAGCAAAGTGTGAGTTGGGAATGCTTAATAATAAATAAGAGCCGGGCTCGGTGGCTCAGCCTGTAATCCTGCGCCTTTGGGAGGCTGAGGTGAGTGGATTGCCTGAGCCCATGGGTTCGAGACCCACCTGGGCAACTTGGCAAGACCTCATCTCTACAATAAATCAAAAATTAGCTGGGCGTGGTAGCGCGCGCCTGTAGTTCCAGCTACTTGGAAGGCTGAGGCGGAAGGATCACCGGAGCCCAGCAAGTTGAGGCTGCAGTGACCAGGAGCGGCCACTGCACTCCAGTCTGGGCGACAGAGTGAGACTCCAACCCCCCCAAAAAATAGTAAATAAGACTCTGACTTTACACAAGCTACACATTTTCTGCTTTTCAGAAACCAGCAAATCTCTCTAGAATTTTTTCTCCCTTCACTAAAATTGGACGATAGCCAAGATATAAAGCAAGTCATTTGGAACCTGCCGAGCGTACGCTAAAGCTACTTTATCATGAGATGTATTAAGAAGGCTCCAGCCCACGGGAGTCCAGGGAAGGCGGGGACTGCAGAGGCACAGAGTCAACCACTTGGCCACTTGTGGGCCTCCTTTCTGCCTCAGAGGACTGGAGCAGGGAAGTGTTCTTAGAGGAGGAAATATCCTTTGTCCTGTTCAGAGAGACCAGGGCTCTACCATTAGGCATACTTTAAAAAGCAACCTGGAAGATAACAATCAAACTCAAACCCAGCATAAGCATTGCTGCCTGATACATTATGAGTCATTTCTCTGAAATTTCATGTAAAGAATGATGATTAGTTTACACACTGTGCAATCTCACAATCTGAAGATAAAGATGAGTTGGCTATGTATTCTCTGCTATTGTCAGAACATTGGGACAACTGGTCATTAAAAAAAACTCGTCCCCTTACTGCAGGTTTCACATGGGCACTTCCAACTGTGTGTTCCAAGGCATTTATTTTCAACAGTGATCATTATAACTTCACAACAAAAGATGCTGTTGGATTTACTTGCGGGGCCTTAATGTTATTTTTGTCCCAACAAACAGCTTCTAGGTCCTAAAAGTCAAGGCACTTCATCAGTTTATTTGGCACACATGTCAACATTTCTTTGGCCCTGGGCCCAACACAGTTTGTACTTCATGAAACATATTGTACATTTTACATAGTTTAATTTAAAAAATACATTTTAAGCTAGTTGATCTTTGACTGCCTTATTTATTATAACCTTTCAGCACATTCCAAGGTTTTAGTTACTCAGGAAGGAGTTAATTAAAATGATTTTATTTTGGTCTGATGGATGTTTTTTAAAAGGAAAATTATTATTATGACCCTTCAGCCTACTTTCGTTGAGTGCTGTAAAAGTGCTTGTAAATCTCTTTTTTTTAAAGGAGAAAGAAAAAAATGGTATTTGACATTGATGGAAATTCAAAAATATACATGGAACTGAAACATTAACTTAGCTAAAATAAAAGCAATCTGTGTTTGCGATGAAGTATTCCTTAACTTATTCTTTGCCCATATAGGTAAATGAATATAAGTAAGTTGAAATTTTTTTGCCATTCTGTTGATAGCTAGAAATAAAAGTATCTGTAGTTCCTCATACACCCTCAATCTTCTTAGTTGGCCATGGTTTTTTTCCTCAAGGTGGGATTTTGGAAAGTTGAATTTTTAAAAATCTATCAACTTTCATTCTTGGAATTATATGACACCAAAAAAAAATCTGGAAAAAAAAAAGTTAGCCATTCATTCATCTAGCTGTGTATATAAAATACTAAACAATTGACTCTATTGCTATTTCCACCTGTTGGTTTGGCTTCAGGGTGCCACATCTGAATCTCCAGTCTCTGATCTCCAGTATCTATGGGACATGTCTACAGCAATGGAGTGAAGGAAGGAAATGCCACGACTCTTAGTGTGTAAGCTGATCCCCTTCTCAGACATGTAAAGCCTCACAAGTTGGTGCATTCTAACCTCTAAAGTGAGCAGTCTTGATCTAGAAATGCCCTTCCTGGGAAATGCCATTGCTTTGGTCAAATGGAGACAGAAATGTCATGCTTTCTGCATATTGGAGACAACATTCCAATGTCATGTGACTGTTTTATAAAAGAAAAAAATCAAAATCTTGGTACTAACTGAAAGAAAAATCCATTTTGGTAATAACTTGCTTTATTTCAAGTAAGAATCTAAGAATCTTAAGCAGGTGATAAGTGGTGATCCTTCTTAATCATTTAATTTGTTTTTCTGTAACCCCATCAAATGATGTTTGACTCTGAATGAACTTTAAAGCCCAAAGTATTAAACAAAACTGGACTGTGCCACATCTGGAGTTTTTTTTGGTCTGAAGTTCTTCATAAATGTGCTATCACCTGTGGGTCTATCTAGTGAGCTATTTGGTTACATGAATTTTCTAGATAATGACAGTATTTCTTAAGAGGTGGAATGATAATCCACCACCATTAAGAAAAATAACCCTGTGTGTCAAAATTATGAAAGCCCTTCCAGTAAACGTCAAGAAGATAATTACTTACTTCACATCTGATGATAAAGTAACCTGTAAAAAATAAACAAACAATAAATATTTTGAATATTCTGCTGCAGAAAAGCCTGTTTTAGGCTAGAACCAAAAACAAGAGTCTGCTAAGAAAAACACGTGGAACTTCTTTCACAGCCCATAAAAGTCATTGTGCTACAACCCAGTACATTCATGTGTTAGGGCTGCCATAACAAAATATCACAAGACTGGATGCCTCAAACTACAGAAATTTATTGGCCCACAGTTCTGGAGGCTGTAGGCCCAGATCAAGGTATGGGCTGAGTTGATTTCCCCTGAGACCTCTCTCCTTGGCTTGTGGATGGCTGCCTTCTCCCTGTGTCCTCGCATAGTCTTTCCCATGTGTCAGTCTGTGCCCTGATCTCTTTTTTTTTTTTTTTGAGTTGGAGTCTTACTCCATCTCCCAGACTGGAGTGCAGTGGCACGCTCCCAGTCACTGCAGCCTCGACCTGCTGAGCTCCGGCGATCCTTCC